AGTATTTAAAGCTTTAGCGTAACGAAAGATCGTGGGCATTTTTTGGGGTCGATTAAATTCAATCCTCTAAACACCTCCTTACACCTGCCTTCGCCCCTGGGTATATGTCTTACCACTTTTACCTATTTCTTTTCACATTTAAACATCATTCATTACAAAAAATAATATGTAGCAACACTTTTGTTTTCAGTTTACTACACGCAACATGTAAAAAAGAAGGTCGATAAAGACAGCAATAAATCATATTTTAGTTCACTCACACTCTACACGTGCAAGTTAATACGGTAAAACACTTATCAGTTTACGATACCGGGGGACAGATTTACGAGGGGCAGACTATCAATGAGAATGTTTACACCATCATCTTATGACAGCTTGAGCAGATAAGATGACGATTCATTGCAGACACTACAGGGTCTAGCCACAATAGGAAAACAATTTATGAGGATTTTTAATTTTTTTAAATTTCAAATACTGGGCCTTAGCAGGTGTGTTTGTTGCGGTTCATGGGTTGGTTAGTGTTGGGTTAGTGTTGGGATAGTGTTGGGTTAGTGTTGGGTTAGTGTTGTGTTAGTGTTGTGTTAGTGTTGTGTTAGTGTTGTGTTAGTGTTGTGTTAGTGTTGTGTTAGTGTTGTGTTAGTGTTGTGTTAGTGTTGGGTTAGCGTTGTGTTAGTGTTGTGTTAGTGTTGTGTTAGTGTTGTGTTAGTGTTGTGTTTTAGTGTTGTGTTAGTGTTGTGTTAGTGTTGTGTTAGTGTTGTGTTAGTGTTGGGATAGTGTTGGGATAGTGTTGGGATAGTGTTGGGATAGTGTTGGGTTAGTGTTGGGTTAGTGTTGAGTTAGTGTTGGGATAGTGTTGGGTTAGTGTTGGGTTAGTGTTGGGTTAATGTTGGGCAAGCGGTGAGTATTAAATAAGTATGATACGATGTTGAACAGGTAATCACTATCTTGTGCATGATTAAAATTTCCTCCGTGTATTTGTGTTTTAAATGGACTATATGCTACTATTGAAACTAACCCGATGCCGTATGTATAAGTGATTATGAAATAACAGTGAGAATAGACGTACAGCTAGTATCACATTACATCTTAACCATGAACCTAACTCTTTGGGACGGCGTGGCCTAGCGATAGAGAGCTAGACTGCTAACCCGAAAATATCGAGTTCGAATCCGGGTTAGAGAACATAACGCTGACCACCATATCCCGAGGTCTTTGTAACGGATTAACTCTACTCCATCTGTTTCATGTGTCTTGGATACGAACGAGAAAATATGATGATAAACGTAACTCTACCCCCGTCACTAGACATTATCCACTCTCTTAACCTACATTATGGTATTGGTGACCTTAGCCTCGAAAAACAGCTATTCTGAAGTGTGAGTATGGCTAATTACCTACCATAGGGGCAGGAATAATCGATTCAACTTTTCCATCATATATTATGCAAACCTAATCAATACTTATACAATATATACAATAGAATTATTCAGGCATAAATGTTTCTGCATCAATTCTTAGCGTATAATTAAGTACCACTTCAAAACAGAAAAACGGGGAGAATGAAATTTCTAAAATAAAATTTAAAAAATTTGAAAAAAAAAGAAAAAAACTCAGCGTTAAGGAAATAAAAGTAAGCATTTCCTTTTGTGGAAATGTTAAATTCCCCAATACTGACAATGTTACATTCCAATGGAGACAAAGTTACTGTGTAAAATGTTTCTTCCCATTATCCTCTACCAAAACTAACCTTTTACTTCGTCTTAATGTGTCTAAAAGCGAAAGGTTTTTGCTTTCACATTTTCAAAAGGCCATCATCAAATCAGTACTGTGAAGGCTTAGCCTATACAATCTTACATTACAATCAATGGTGATCTATACAAACAAAGACATACTTATTTAAAATGGTGAAAGATAATTTGGATCTAATGACAAGGCATCGACCGATGGTATGAGAATCAAAGAACGAAAACTGTATTTTCACTGGCAAAGTTTCATATCATTTTCGTTTGTCTTCAACATTCTTTTTTTCTTCTTCTTGTTTTAAACTTTTGATTGAAGAGGTATTTAAAAAAATTTTTCAAGAGGTATTTAAAAAAATTTTTCGTCAAAGTAAACTCTCCCAGCGGATTGTATTTGGTACATTTTAAGCTAGTTCTGATATTTTTAAATGAACTCGGGTTGAGCTAAGGAAGAGTGCCAGTCCACTTTATCTAGTTAGTTAATTGTTAAACAGTAACACCCACGTAAGTAGCGAGGGAGATGAAGTGGGGGGGGGGGAGGAAGTAGTTATTCAAGGCTCTAGGAAAAAAAAGCTTATCTTGGTTTACTGCGCGTTAATTAAGGTTGTCTAAAGGTTGTCTAAATTAGACTTGTCGAAATGAGACAGTCTCTGTAAGACCGTCTTAGAACGACAGTCTAAATATTACCGTCTATGAAAATAAAACCGTCTAAATATAACTGTCTAAAAAGACCATCTAAATAAGACCATCTAAATAAGACCGTCTACATAAAACCGTCTAAATATAACCGTCTATATAAAACCGTCTAAACAAAACCTTCTAAATAAAACCGTCTAAACAAATCTACTAAATAAAACCGTCTACGAAAGACCGTCTAAATAAAACCGTCTAAATAAAACCGTCTAAATAAAACCGTCTAAATAAAACCATTTATATAAAACCGTCTAAATAAAACCGTCTAAATAAAACCATTTATATAAAACCGTCTAAATAAAACCATTTATATAAGACCTTCTAAATAAAACCATTTATATAAGACCGTCTAAATGACGCTTTCTAAATGAGCCTGCACATTGGTGCCTGCGGTCACAGACCTGCCAACTGTCAGTACGTCAAGAGGTAACTGGTAGGTTTAATAGGGGGGGGGAGGATGGATACAATACAACTTTCAATAATTCTAATTTTAAGTTAACTGTCGAGGTGCTAATGTAAAGTATGAGGGGCAGCCCTGATACTCATTTAGTTTGAATTTTTCGTGCATGAACAAGTCTGGTAAAGTTTATCGACAAAATGATTGTTTAGGTATAAGGCCTTCGTCTGACTAAAAACAACAAAGTACATCCTTATCCAGCCATTCTCACTCATCACTTTCTTTAAACTGTGGGCATGTACTCGGTCAGATGCCGACTGGCTAAGAAAATGTCACCTACATATAATATCTTACAACAATATGACCAGTGTTTCTTCCAGACTTTTTTCTCCCGGGGAAACTTGATAGACGACTAGATATCTGAGCTAGAAGTAAGATCCTATTCCACAACGTCTTACAATATTCCCAGATATCTGAACTAGAACTAAGATCCGACTTCAAATATGCTCAAGACGTTCGGCTCTAGAACTGTGACTCGATCCCAAACGTCTTGCAAGATGACCAGATATCTGAACTAGAACTAAGACCCTAAATCCCACAAGACGATCTGAACTAGAACTAAGAACCTATCCCAAACATCTCACAATGTAACCAAATATCTGATCTACAACTGAGACTCGGAACCCTTCAAATCCCCCCCCCCCACAAATATAAACAACGCCCCCCCCCATACCCCAATAAGCATGTGGAAACAAGCGTGAGTACACTCAGGACCCGGGGGTCGGGACGGGATTAATAAACGGTGCCAGCCTCGAGAGCCAGGTGATTAGCGTCGGGTTCTGGAATTACTGTTGGCTTAAGTCGGGCTGACGATATCGATTAGTAACACCATCGTCACTAATCCAATAACTTTTTTATCTGGTACCAACAGGGGAAGTAATTGTGTAAACAAGAGAATTTCTCAGAATTTTTGGACAATTTGTCTATGATTAAAAAATAAATAAAACTACTTCACTTTGACGGTTTGTACAAATAATTAACTCATAGGTCATTCAGCTTAAGCTGTTTTTGTAGTCCCATCACCGTGGTTGGTAATTAAAGAGCTTTTATGACTAAAATATTTTCATTGAAATTATTTAAGTGCGATTATTAAATATAGTGAAATATAGATTATCCTATCCCGATAATTTAAAGTGACAACTAAGCAACGGTCTTTATAATTAACATCATTTAACACTTAAATCACAGCTAATTAGAGCGGTCATTATCACATCTAAAATCTAAGCCCAACATAAAATTATCACTTATCGCTACTAATTATAAATCACAGAGAATATTATTTTTAAAAATCATAATAGGAGATGCCAATCATTTAATTATATTAATTAGTAGGTTCTACTCTAATTAAAAAAGCGAAAATTTTGATTTGATCAGAACGAAAAGAGACTAAAAAACACCCTAAGAGGTTGAAAGAACTACTGTCATTTGTTAAGTTTAAAAAGGTGTATGTACGTTTAAACGAACCCGAATTCTAGAATTAAAAACAACAAAAATAAAAAAAATAAAAAAATATCATACGTGACTTCTTTGTTTTAAGATAGTATCCTAGGTTTTAATAAAGTAACTACCACCTTGATTATTTATAATGCAGGAACATGAAAACTAATATAAAATTTGCATTAAAAAACATTTCAAATCAAGAATACAAAGTTAATTTTTAAAGGTCGAGAACGGGTCTCAGTCTGAATAAAATTCAATTAACTTACGGCAAGATGAGCTTTTATTAAGCAAAAGCTGCTCTAAAATTATCTACAGCCATAATTCCTGTTTTATAATATTTTTTTTTCTATTTCATAAGACGCTACTTGTCATGCACTAAGTAAAAGTTACTTGAGTAATATTAAGATATCTCTAGGAAACTAAATTTAAAAATTAAAAAATAAAAAATTCTACATGAATTGCATTTAGTGGCATAAACATCTAAGGTTTACCTTCCATTTGCGAAAAGTAATAACAATATTTCCGTGAAATAATTTTAAAAACCTAAAGAAATTAGTATTTTAATGAAGTACCGACACATTCATGTCTAGATCCAAAATCACAAAGTATAATGCTCTGGATATTTTAGTAAAATTGTATGAGGAAAGTAACACAAAAGTCAATCAACTCAC